TTGATGGGGAAGGAAATGCCACTTGATGCTTTTACAATTAAAGCAGACAATGCAGAGGTGGCTTACACCAAGTGACTATTTCTTCTTGGCAACATTCACCTAAAACCCTGGGCCAGGAACAGTGAGGAGACTACATTCAAAATGGCAGTCCTGATTGCTTTGGACCTCCATTTCCTTGCTCTCCATCCTCCTGAAAGGCTCACAACAGCTTTGAATTCTAATTCCCATTGCTCACCTGTAGGAAATGATTACAGGAAGAAAAGCAAGTCTTTTCTGTCAGCAACCATAATGAGAATTTTTATCTAAAAATATCTTACACCTGCTCAGCAAAGCCAGAACAGTTTCTGCTGTTAGTTAAGTATTTTATTTAAATTATATTCTGAATGTACAGCTGGCAGAGACAGCACTTGGCTGCTCTCTGTCCCGGTTACAAGGCAAGGAAAGCCAGACTGACACGGGTCCTTAAATTCTGGCAGGTTTTGGGAAAACTCCAGATGCACTGAAGCACTTTGAGCTGCTAGGACAGAATTCATGCTTCTCATTAGGATAATTCACTCTAATAGACCTCTGAAGGCTTTCCATTTTTGGCAATGTTCTTTTAATGAGGCTCAAGTTGGATCTGTATATCTTACATTGTAAAATACATTTAAATAAACACCCCATACAGAAATCTTGGTGCTCTTCAGAAAAAATGAGTTAAAACAACCAGCTGAAAAACCTGTACTAATACAATAAAAATGGGAACAACCTCAGATGAAAGAGAAATGTTGTCCTGAGGAAGGTTCCTCTTACATCCTGGCAAAGTATCATCCATTTCAGCTGGATGTTCCTGCTGGGATGACACAGAGCTGTGCTGGGATGATGTAACTGTGGATTTTACTCTGGATGTATTAAGAATAATTGCTCACTCTGAGATCTACACAGAAGACCTGTGCCGCTGCTCTCACACAGAAGATCTCACCATCTTGAGGAAAGCAAGGGAAAGCTGCAAGATTCAAGGCTGAAACTACAGCACTGAAAATCATTCCAGTATTAACACCTGAATTTTCCTACTTCCCTAGGAAGGGAGTGCAAAAGCAGAGAATGGCAAGGGAAACAGAAATAGCAAAGCAGAGACTGAAATATGAAGAAGGCAGAGATACTTACTTAGAAGTTAAGACTGAATACAAAATGAAAAGAAAAATCCATAGAAAAATAAAATAAGGAGAGAGGCAGCTGGTATTTCCCAAAGTTCTCCCACTGAAATTATATAAAAGGGAATATATTCAAATGTCTGAACAGCCCCTAGGGCTGGGATTTCCTTCACTCTGACTTCATTTCCCTCAAACAAAGGTATTATCTCAGCAACTCCACACCAAAATAAAATAGAGTACCAATTTAAGTGCTCCTGTACCATGATGAAGAAATATGAGATATGAGATACCTCTCTCAGAGCCTACGTGGGGCAATATCAAACTACTGAAGGTTGGACTAAAAATGGCAATAGTGAACTTTCCTCACTCCCATGAAATTGGAAAAGGCTTGCTTGCCCTTAGAGATGTATTAAATTGTGTTTAGCTGCCACTTCCCCAGTGTAAATGGACAATTTAATGCAAAATTCATACCTCGCACAGACACACAGATCAGCCTGATGGCCTCAGTGCAGCAAACTCCAGTAAATTCTGGCCAGTTCTGGATTTTTTTCAAATCCACTCACCTTCTCCACATCCACTGAGCTAAGTTTAACCACAAATGCATTGGCAAATGAGTGTTCCAAAGGCAGACAGCAGCATCAACACACGCTGCACTCGAGGCTGAGGTGGGGCAGAGCTGCTGAGGCAGCTTCGCTGCTCCTGCCTCTTCCTTTCCACCAGACACAGCCACTGATCTCCTTTCTGGTGACAGCTATGACTTTTGCTCTTAGCTTAAAAGAGAAGTTGTCCTTCCCCATTCCAGTCCTGTCCCCCCAGCATCAGGTCAGAACAAAGGGAAGAAGAGGTAACAGTCCCGAAAATTTCTTCTTTTCCCAAAGAAGGCACAGACAGAAAATGGATGTTTTCTGCTGGGGAAGGACACGAGACAGTCCAGAGTGGTCTTTGCAAGGACTGAGGATGGAAAGGGATGCAGACTAAAGTGCTCTTACAGCCTCACATGACATAAACATTCTGCAAGGTAACATGGAAAGGGGTTTCAGTCCCAAGGTAACTCATCTCTGTGCCTCTCCTACAGGCATCACATATCCCAGCCGTAATTCCCATCCCACTAATAACACCAAGTCGCTGATATTCTGAAGTTTGTAGCCTTGATTAACATAAACTCTCAATTTGCCAAGCTGGCTCGCAGAACTGATTTTCCCAGTCCTCTTCTCATGTTGGCTGCTGGTGAAATGGAGCAGTACAAACTCCAGACAAAGAATGCACCCACCCTTCATCCACACACCGCACAAGCAACCAAGGCATTCCCCAAAGAGGAGTCTGACCTGTCCCCCACATCACAGTGCTACAGACATGGCCAGTAACCACCCAAAAATCCCATGAGAAACCCTAACCTCAGCATTTCCTTTCATTACATGGTGCTGAAGTCAGCTCCTCAACATCCCACAGATGTTCAGTCAGCATCTGTTCAAAGCCCCTTGTAGGTTCTCAGGTATGTCTTTATTCTCATCACCTGTGAAAGGATGAAAGCACCAAAAAGGAAGCATTTGATCACTTTATCACTTGCATGCCAATTATTTATCCTTCCCAGACTAGGCAGGCAAACTCAAGTTTATCCTTTCCTTCACTCCTCTCCCTTGGTTTTGGAATCCTGCAGCCCAGGAACACAAAACAGCAGTGGCCTCTTCAGGTCTCACTAATTTTTTGATTTTCTAACTAATTTTGTCACTCTTGGGCCCCTTGGTCACACCCTAGGGCTGAATTTGGACTTCAGCTGCAGCAACCACCAGAGCCTGGGTAGGCTGGGCATCAAAACTCAGCCAGGGACGGAGACAGGGAAATATTATTTCTCTATTAATATGTTAATGACTCTGTCCTGATTGCTGTGAGCACCAAATGATTTCCCTCCCAGTCTGAGAGATGGAAGAGAACTGACACGTTCATTTTTCTGGACAATAATGCTGTCATCAGCCTTAAATTTGGGCTGCTTCTGAAGGGAGTTATTACTCTGTAAAAATGGAGCACAGTGCTGCTGCTGCTCTCTGTTAATTACCATCAGTTGGTTTCTGAAAAAATGCCATGCCATAAATGTAGCTCAAACGGTGGTTTTCTGAGGCTTCCCTTCAGAATCCATCAGTTTAATCAAGGCACAGGCAGGAAGGCTGAGGAAGAGCCTGTGGGGAGCTGATCACTTGGGACAGCGCCAAAATCTTCATCAGTTGCAGCAGCTTAAAATTAGAACTTTCCAATTTCAAGGAAGGCTTTATGATACTCTGAGATGTAGTGCTCCTTACTGGAATTCCTCTTCCCAAGAGGCTAAAGGCTGCCTGGTACTTTTTTTTAATATCACTGTTGGCTTTTAATCCTGCTTCTATGAAGGGCAAAACTCTGAAGGATTTCTAACACTGAAGACAGAGATAAAACAAGAAATAACAGTGAACAAATAATGTGCTGAGCATTTAAAGAAAAAACAGAGATTACTCACTCTGACTTATTCTGATATAAGAGATAGAACTTGCTACAATAACTGGTAAGATTGTTCACCACTGGCATCACCTGAGCCAAGAAACAAACCTTTATCCTTGACGGACTTAATTAAAATAATTACGTTGATTGATTTTTAAACCATTTCTCTAATCAGCGGATTAATTCTGTTACAGTTTATTTCAGGTTTTATGATGATGACTCAAAATGCCCTCATTTGTGATTTGGGAAGAATTTAGAATAGGCAATGAGTTTAAGTACAGTAAAAACAAATAAAATATATTGTAAGAAAGAGCAAAGCAGGCCACAGGGACACCTACAGCAGTTTTCCCTATGACTTTTGTAGAGAAATGCTATTAAAATTGATAACTGATCACACACTACGTGTGTACACTGCCTTTTAATGACTCTGAGCACGTTTTAACAGAAATGCAGTGACCTGCTGGGATACAAACCCAACCTATGGCTGCTGTCTGTGGGCCAGGTAAATTCAAACCATGTCACAAGGCCTCTTCTACATTTTATTACTTCTTTTTTTCAAATCCCAGCTTTCTTTAAGAGAAAAATCCTTTGCACATCTCCCAGGTACAGCTCGCCTTGGTGTAAGAAATGTGCTGTGACACTAAGCTGGTGCAAATCAAGGCAAATTCACTGATTAATGGAGCCATGCTATTTAATATTATTTATCTTATTGTTTCTTTGATCTGAGAAGAAATTATTTGGGCTCTTGTTTTAGGTCTGTTACAACCTCATTTTCACAATAATGTAAGAACCCAATATTTCCAGTTCTGGCATTATGTGTTTTAAGATGGCATTCCTCCAGCTTTTTTTCCACTTTGCCTGTTACAAGGCCATGACTGAACTAACACCACAGAGGAGAGTCCAAGAATTACTGCTGAAATACACTGTGACTTCAGCACTGGCTAAGATTCCGCATGGGTGCTTGGAATAAATCACTCTTGGCAGCTCCTGTAGTATTTGCTGCTGTTCCCAACATCTCCATCCCTGGGCTGGTGTAATTAGGGGGCACACAAGTGGCTTAAGCTCCTACAAGTGACTGCAAATGCTTCATTTAAAGATCAGCCTCGGACTTGGAAAAAAAAACCCAAAACCAACAATTACAAAGACCTTTTACCTTGACTTTCACCTGGACTGACAGGTGACGGTCTCCAAGTGGAATTACCATTCCTCACTGCGTCTCTCTCTTTCTTTGTGTGTACTTACACTCAACCACTTCCCTCATCTATAGGAAGAACACCAAGGAGTCCCATTCCTGTGATCCTGTTAGGGTTGGTCAGCTGTCACTTCCTCACAAGTCTTTCCAAGGAATTAGAGGGCACAGAAAGCAGGCCCTCCAGGAGAAGATTTCTCTGCAAAGAGAAATCTGCTTCAGTTGCTCCAAGGACTCCACAGAGGTCTCATGAGAGGTGGAATAAACCTGGAGATTCCCAAGATTTCTAGGGGGCTGCTACTCTTACAGGAGGAATGCAGTATGTCAGGAGTTTTATCCCACAAAACAGGAGCCAGAAGTGCCTGACTCATCACAAAACAGGCTTTACCATAAAAAACCATGAGTAAGTGAGGAGACTTTTTCTGGGAGTCTGCATTTCTTCCCATCCTGTCAGACAGCTGAGTTAGGACTTTAGGAATAATGCTGCAATTAATTTCACCACAAAAAGAGAAGGTAATAATTACCTGATTATTCCAGTAATGTATGCAAGGGTGACTATTAGATCTTTTAAATCCAAGCTCTCAAACCTTGACTAGCTTCAGGTGGATTTTTGAGAAGCAGCAACTTTTCATCTCATCCCAGTCAGACCCTTATTCTGATCCCAAACCCAATCTCTATGTTATGCTTATAAACACCGTTTCTTGAGGCAGCAGCCTGAAGATCTCTATGTGATAAATCATCTTCCTCTGCAAAGCTGCTGTTTTTCACCTTCTCACCCATTCTGCAGCTTTCTTGCAGCTACTTCTGGATCTGGATTTGATTTTAAGAGCATTTGAAAGAGTACATTAATTAAATTGCATTATTAATAACTTCACAGCTTTTACAATATCTCCTTGTTTCTAAATTAGCATTATGGAAACATAAAAAAAAAAACCTTCATAAGAAAACCCCAAACATTAATTTTAAACAGTGATTGGCTTTTGATATCTCTTCTTAAAAAAGCCTTTAATTGATTGGCCATTAAAATATCCACCCTTAAGGTTTCTACCTGTAACTGACAAAACTGAAGACAGGGTGAGAAGATGCATCTAAACTCCTTTTAAAAATTAAAGAAAATATTTAACAATTCCTAATATCCATCTTGGTACACTATAGATCATTTTCCTTTTGTTTGTACTGACAAGTAATTTATGCTGAAAGCTCAGAATGAAGTAAAGGTTTATCCAGGTAAAATTAATTTAAGTTTTTAAAGTTTTTTAAGAAATGAACAAACCAAAAACGAAGTGTCCAAGCAAGAAGGGGATTTGCAGGGTGTCCAGAGTCAGTCTAACACTGATCCTGCTGACTCCAAGCACAGAAATATGAGGCTGAGGGGGAATGCTTTGGAAATCCCACCACAGCATACAAATTTTGTGGGAGAAACATGTAACGGATGTCTGTCAAAATCAAAATGAAAAAATGCATTCTGCATTTCAAGGCTTGAAGGAAAGAGCTTTTATGGGCTGCAAATAAGCAAATAGAAAGTAAATTTGGCTAAGCAAATTGGAGGGAGGGGTGGATTTTTGTTTGTTTGTAACTGGCATGGTTTTTTCAATGAAGGAATCTGGAGAATATTAACAGTTATGCCTAAGTCTATGCTGGAAGCATTTTTGTTATTTTAGAGCCAATAACAGCCTCTTGCCAAAACCTGTAAACTGCTTTTTAAAATAGGAAAAGAAAAAAAAAAAGCACCTTTGAAATGGAATTCTCATGGCAGGCGATCATCAGCTCCAATTAGTCCCTGGCAGAGGAATCTGAGCAAGAGTGATAGACTCGGTGCATCCAAAACTGCTTAGTCTAGACTAAACCTCGCTGGAATTCTCTGCAGACCAGACCTCAGCCCTCTGGATCCCTGACAGCCATCTCTATTGGCCACAAACAACAGCACAGTGTGGATCCTGCTCCAGGCTTCCCTCCCACCTCTCCTTATCTAGTCCCAGAGCTATTCCCCCTCACAAATCCACAGGCACTCAGGTAAAAAGCTGTTGATGGCTATCTGAAGCCCAGTTAATAAATGTAGGTAATGCTCTCCCCACACCCCTAATCATCAGTACAGTGAGCATGTGAGCCAAACCCAAAATAATAAACCCAGACAAACATGTTCATCTGCCTGACAGCAGCCAGAAGCCACTGTTGCCAAAGAGAAAAGAGCCTGGAGCTGGCTCTTTCTAAAATGTTGTCAGCACAATTAATTCTGAAACACGCTCTGCAAATGTGGAACGTGGCCCATCTGTCACGGCTCCTCGCGTGTATTTAATGATTAACGAGAGGTAGGAGTATCAACTCAGTGTTTCATCTCCAAACCCAGCCTCCCTGTGCAGAGGATTCAGCTCCTAGTTAAGGACCTAATCCTTTCCCAAACTCATTCCTAAGTGGCATCTTCAACAGAAAAGAAAGTCACCAGCTAACTCCTGGGGTGCCACCAGCCCCGTCACAAGCACCATCACAATGAAGTAAGGCTGCAGTATTATTTTTCTTTCTTTATCCTGGCAATTTGCCATTGGCATTAGCTGAGATAATCTGGTACTTCCCTGGAATCCACCCCTTCAGCCAAGCAAAAAATGTGATGATATGTCAAGTGTGAATACCTGGCAGCCTTTTTTTTACACAAATTGCTTGAATGGCAATTCAGAGCCAGCTCCAAGTTTTCCAGCACCTTTTCTCATGTCTCCAAGCCCAATTCAATGATCACCACACACTGGAGAAGTTCAGTTGACTCAGGTCCAGGCCTGAAATCCAAGAACAGACACATATAGATCAACCTATAGAGAGAGCCAGAGGAACTGAGGGGTCTGAGACTTGGCTTATCCACACAGAGACAAGCTGTTACCTCCAGCTCTCGTTTTTAATTGTCCAGGAGTTGAAATATCATTTTTTCCTTTCAGTTCCATCAGCAGCTTGGTCTGCTAAAGCCTGAGGAAGAAATAATACACAAGGACACACAAGTTTACAAGAACCATCTCTCGAATCTGTGGCAACTTTGATAAGAGTAGTAATAGATCAGTACTGAATTTTGGGAATTTTATCCTTCATGAGGTAAAATAATTTTCACTGGATGCACATCAATCATTGTACTTCTACTCACACCAAACCATGAACTCACCCTGTGATAACTTCCCAAGATTAGATAATTACATGTATAAAACAAAAGTAATATATAAATAAAACAAGCCCTGAATTCCATTTCAGCATTTTGACAGATGCAGCTATTTCACTTATGGGATGCACTTATCTGCTCCCATTAAAAGGTGTCAGCAGGTGGACACAAGAATCCTGGTTAATCAAGGAGCCACATCTAATTACAGTATCACAGCAGCCACCCCTCAGTATCTCCAGAGAAGCCAGAACAGATGTTTAAAGGGATTCCCCTGGGATTTAACAGCCCTTGAGAGAAAAAATAAAAGTACATCTTGAAGCAATCAGGCAAGGGATTGTAAATTCTAATTTCAAGAAAAACCATTGGCAAATTAAGTCTATTAGCTAAACAAACTTTCCTAAGGAAACAAGGCCTAGTTTTCTTAGGCTCCTCATGCTTATCCACTTGTCCTGAGCCAGGACAGCTTCCATAGGCAGCTGCTCTCATGTCTTTTGGGACAGACTCTGCCTTCTTTTTTGTACTGGTGCTGTGCCCCCGGCTCTGCTCACACCTACCCCCTCAGAGAACATCTTGTTCTAGAAATAATGCAGGTTCAGAGGGACCTTTGCAGCCTGCCACATGAACAATGAATTGAGAATTATTCAGCACTGCTCCTGTATCAGCTTAAAAAGAGGGATAAAAGAGATCTTGTGTGAATCAAAGCCCTCCAAGCTTTCTCTACCAGAACAGACTCTGAGGACATATATAAAGTTCAAATGAATTAAGAACTGGAGTTTATATTCTCCAGAAAAACCAAACTAAAATTAAAAAAAAAGCCCCTTTGAACACTGAAGGAAGGCAGGAAACCAGGAAGGCTACTCCTCTTCTGCTTCCACAGCTGTTAAAACCAGGAGTTGTTAGAAACCTTGCTCACCAGCAATTTCCAGATTCATGATTTCTCACTGTATAAATTTAATCCTGAGTCAATTCCTAAACTGTAGCTTGATAAAATATCTGTAACAAACATAAAACGGCTTAAAATCTGCCATAAGCCTTAGAATTACATTTTCCATGGAGCAGCTGGAATGTCCAGGCCAGCATGAACATACTTTCTTGTGGAGTGTCTGTAAATTGGATTAAAGATAAGCTAACACTGGCCACACATCATTCAACAGGTTCTGGGATTTGCTGTATCCCTGCAGCAAAATCCAGGCCACTGCAGAAGGGATGGGCCTTGGCAGTTTCTCTTTGAATCCCTGGACATAACAGCTATCTTTCCATGTGGAACACGGTGTTTTAAAAATGGAAGAGCAGGATCCAGGTTTTTCCTACAGTCCTGCCACAGGTGGGGTCCCGCTCACCATCAGACCTCCCACATTCCCGTCCTATCTGCATTCAGACGTCAACAGGAACAACTTACTCTCATATTCCAATCATACTTCCAAAAGTAGACAAAGGGACTGACTCACTGCCCTCTTCATCCAGTACAGAAACATTCTTGCTGTAAGGTTTGGTTGAAGGCCAGTGTTTATAGACCTTAAAACAACAACAAAGCCATTATCTGACTCCAGCCATAGGAACATCCTGAATGCTAACACAGTGAAAAGGGGCATCCTAATAGCATTAACATCTGCTCTTTATGAGGTGACATACTTGTGCCAGCAGTGCACAACATGGGTGAAATGCCATGGCAATGCCACTAGTTTCATGCTTAAAGTCCCAAAGTCCAAGCAAACCCATGCCTCAAGCTCTTTCTGACTTGGAGCATCACGGTCCAGCAGAAGGTGTCCCTCCCTGCCCATGGCAGGGTTTTGGGATGAGGCAGGCTCTAAGATCCCTCCCACCCCAAAGGATTTTAGGATTCTGTGATGTCTTGCAGTCTGGCTCTAAGCAAACCCAGCAGCAGCTCCTACAGATGTGAAACATCAATCCCTGCTTTGCTGCTGCTGTCCTGGACCAGGCACAAATCCATCAGAGGATCCATCAGGGCACTGCAAGCTGTATGGAGGAACCATCGTTCCTGACCATGCCCCATCTCCTTTCAGCAGGCTCTGGATAGGTTTTCTTTCCAAAATGAAGATTCCAGCCAACAGGGATAATCACTCACATGGCACACCTATGGAAACCTGAGACATGGTCCCTCCAAAGAGCGGTGCCACTCTCCAGACTGGGGATAAACATCCCCAGAAGCAGAAGCCTTAATGGCATTTTTTATATTAAAGTATAGCTTCGTTTCCTCTGTGCTACTTAATTCTGTTCTGTGCTTATAGGGTTCCTCAGCAGGGAAGAGGTCAAAGAAAATGAGAATTCATTTGGGGAGTCGTTTCATTCTCACAGAGTGTTTTACAGAGTGGGATGGAAAAAGATGGAAATGGATATCCCCAGAGGACAGTGATGTAATACTCTTGCATGCACTGATGAGTATCTCAAGAATACAATCCTTAGCAGGAAATATTAATTTTTCACTGGCTAAACTCAAGTGGTTACTCTTTTGAGGACTATGAGATTCATAATTCAGAATGAGATTTCTTTCGTGCTCATTTTTTTTCTTCTTTTAAAGTGAAAAAATGCAAAATAAATACTTAATATCTGTTGGACTCAATAAGCTCACGATTTGCAGGATTTCCCATGTTCACCAGCACATTTCTGAATCTCTCACTCCATACTAGCCCTGGCAGAACTGCCATGTCCTGCCTTTGAGCTAGCTCAGGGTGCTCACAAACCTTTACTGCAGCATTGATGACTGTCTGGGCCCTCACTGAAGAGGACAAGAATTAAAAAAAAACATTTATTTCCTAAGAAAAATTTCACACAGAGGGAACTTAGGATGTGGATTCCCTGTAGAAGGTGGACTTAATTTACAACATGGCAGTTCAGGTGAAATAACCAGGATTCTCTATATTCCTGTGTGGCAAGGAGTGAGAAAAATGGTTAATCAAATTTAGAGTCAAGAACTGAACTCTCAAAGCTCTGATATATTTTTGTAAAATTAGCGTAAAAATTAGGCACTATTAAATCACTCATTTCTTAGACATATGTGGGCATAATAAACTACAATTTTTCTTTCTTCCTGTGACTAACTTCAAAAGACTCGAGCAAACAAGGGGCTCAGAGCAGGACCTGCCCTGCCAGGTGAGGTTCTGCAGGGATTCCCCAGGCAGCAGCACAACATAAATCCTTGGTTTGTCTGGATGCAGCTCTTCAAGGGGTATTTCAAGCAATGTCTTCTGATCTCAGAGCAAGAGAACAGTCAGATATAAATTGGTCTGATTTACTGTTAAGAGTTGCTGGCATACAAAAAAAATAAAATAAAAATGCTAGCACACCTGTAGAGCCACTCACATCCCTAAAACTGGGACATTGCAAGTCGTGGTGCTCCCTTCTAAAGCCAAAAGGTCGGCAAATATAAAAAGCTTCACTGTACAGATGGACTAAGGGAGATTGGAGAAGTCCACAAGTTCAACCAATTCTCCTCAGGTCTGCTAGCCATGCCTCCACACTGCTGCCCCTTCCCAGAAACTCCAGAGAGTGGTCATGGAAGGAGAAGACCACCTCACACACCAGAAGAAGGGCCCTCCTTCTGTTTCTCCTGATAATTCTGTAAGGAAGCAGCCAACACATCATAGCCCATTCCTGGAGGGCTTTCCTCTCTCCAGTTGTGAGATCCATCACCACTCTTACCTCTGTCAACAAAACAGCAGATCTAAAAGGATTATCACAATGTCGCCTTTCTTTCAAAGTCTTCTCCTAAAAATGGGGAGGGAATGGACATTTTTTGGGAATGCCAGTCACTTCTGAGAAAAAGGAATTCCTCCCTGAAAATGTGCACTCAGACTTTGATGCAATCCAAGTGATTAAACATCCACAGCTCCTTAGTGCCCCTGGAAAATGGACGGGTCTACACTTCCTGCCAGAATTCTTTTCCTTAGAGCTTGGTAGGAAGAGACTCAAATCCAGGAAAATGGATCAGTATTACATTTCTGAATATAGTCCCAGAAATTCTGAAATCTCTACTGAAATCTCAAAAATTAATATTTTTTTTGTGGTTTCCACAAAAAAAAACAAATCTTAATTTATAATAGTTAAATTCATGTAGAGATACTACTAAAAACAACAAAATTTCTCCATCCAAAAAAATAGAAAAAGCAACTGTTGTTCTTAACTGAAAAAAACAGATTATTTAAAACCAGATGACATGCTTTTAAACAACTTTGAGAGTCGTGGCTTTTTGTCCCTACAAGCCTCTGACATGGGAGGTTTGCCTGTGGTGTGAGTCCCTGCAAGTCAGATTTAGCTGCAAGAAATCCGTGGAGGTTGGTTGCTTATCTCAGATTGTCCAGACTGCAATGGCCTGGAAACACACAGAGCAGTTCTGCAAGATCAGATTTTTCAGATGAAAATCTCGGTACTGACTGTGTTTCATGTGGGCAGGAAATCTCTCCAGCACAGATTCTTTCATACTGGTTTAATCGTTTGAGTTTCAGCTGAAATCTGGAATTTTGAAAGGGTACTGCAGAATTGAAAATTCTGCTTGCAAATGAGAGACACCCTCAGATTTGGGTGTCATCTGAGCGGTGACAAAAAACATACAAAACTCGTCTACTTCCCAGTATTTTTTCCTGTCACTTCACTTCCAAGCTCTGCTTCAGGATTGAGGAATTTATCTTAACACTGTGATGCCATTTTGCACCATAAATACTGGAAATATTTCAGACCCCAAGAGCTGTCAGCAGAGTGACAATCTTCTGAAGGTAGGTGTGAGAAAAGCTGGCAGTCCTCAGTGCAAAACCTCTCTAAGTAACCTTAGCAGTGTTTTTTCCCCCATATAACAGGATTCTACTAGATTGGAAGAAATTATTTGGAAATTATACACTTATACACAAACAGAATCCCAAATCATAGGGTTTTTTCCATGATTCATGAAAAAGAGATCAAGATGAAAAGAAAGTGTTTTTGACTTGGATGTCTCAAAAATCCAGCAGCACAGAATCCAAGTATTCTCTTTGCTGCAAAAATATGAATTCATAGGTTTTAGTCAGCAGGCAAAACTGCATTTCAACAGCTAAAATTTTACTGTACCTTCGGAAAAAGGGTTTCAGTTGCACAGGGTTACAGCCAGCTCCTTTCATCTCTGACCCAGAAGGCACAACTTCATAAAGGGGCAGCTGCCAGAAACCAACTGCAGAGGCAAGAAATAAATCCATTTCAGTAAATAGTACCGCTTGCAAGTCTTCTTTCAAATGATGAAGCTCTGCTCCGAGAGTATGTACAAGTTACACGTGCACCTATACCAGAAGTGCTGGAGGAACTTGCCAAGCCCTGTTAGAAAATATGGCTGAAATAATTATTGAGCAAATTTAAATATTATTTATTTAAATATTATTACTACATTTTTATAGATATGATTTAATTATTGTTATATATAATTAAAATAGTATTATTACATATTTAAACCGTCTTTGCAGCACAGAACACATTCAATATCTTCCCTATGCATAATCCCTCCACCTGCTTCTCATCTCTCAGGGACTCCTGAGTGTGTGACAATATGAAGAGCGAGCAGGAGGGAAGGCAGGGCTTGAGCTCAGGCATCCTGCAATCCCAATAAAACCCAAGCCCTGGAGACATGTTCCTTTGGACAACTTCAGGACAGCTACTCATCTGTAAAGCACGAGAAGAGGGGCTGTGCAACAATCACAGAAACAGTTTGAAAAATCCATTCCTGCATACGTGAACACCAAAGTGGCAAAAAAGAAACAATAAACTGCTGCTCAAAGCTAATAGTTTAGAATATCTGAAGTTAGTATTTTAGAACATCAAGCAGTTTTCTCAGACTTTTCTCTAAAACTACTAATCTGCCAATTTTTGTATATTTTGCTGGAGACAGAAGTTGAGGCTGCTTGGGAATAAAGGGGAAGAAGAAGAACAAGGCTTGTGCTCTTCTGAAAGAAGAGTTAGTGAGATTTTAAGTCTTCCCTAAGTATTCCATGAGGCTGGATTTTATTGTGTTTAAAACAATAGTACCCCATTAACATCTCTGGTCTGGCAATACAGACTCTGGAGCTGGGCATCAGACAAAGGGCTGAGGACCAAAAGGGCGCAGTTTTCCACAGGAAATTAGGTACCGCTGCTCAGGCAGTGAAAGGAGCCTGTCTGCACCTTCAGTGGTGCCTGGCAGCTGCTGGAAAGCACCCAAAAGTCACCTCTCACTGATGCAAGTGGGCAGAGAACACAGCAGCAACATAAACAAACCATCCTTGAAAAGCTTCCCAATGTGAAGAAAAAAAAAATAAATAGTTTTTTTATTGCACCAACTGATACCAACCCACAAGAGCTTCCCTTTCAGCAGCTGCCAGGATAAATTTCCCCTTTAGGCAGATGGTCCAAAACCTGAACCCATGAGAAACTGCAGCTTGACTTAAGCATGCAATGAAGGGAAAAAAAAAACCCTGGAGAGTTCTGCCCAGGGAAATTAATCATTCTCAGCACCTCTGCAGAGCCAGTCTATCCCTTCAGCCCTGACCTACATACTGCACACACAGCGCTTCAAAACAATCTGACATTTAAATCAAAACTCCTCAGCTTCCCGCTCCTCCCTGCACTCCCAGAGGACAAACAGCCCATGGAGACAAGGGTAATTCAGTGGTGCCCCAGGACACCTGCAGCCTCCTCTGGATTCTTCTGCACCCTGGGATTGTCCTGAAGACTGGAATTGTCACCCAGTGTGGAGTTGGTTACACACCAGTGGTGTTTCAAAGCATGTAAGAAAGGTGGTGGGCAATGGACAGGGAATATTTAAAATAATCACTAGTCCTGGAATGGTTTGGGTTGGAAGGGACCTGAAAGCTCATCCATGCCATGGGAAGGGGCACCTTCCACTAGACGAGGTTGTTCCAAGCCCATCCAAAGCAACGGTGTCACACCCACCTGTTTTTTTGGAGTTTCCTTCAGAAGAGGGGTTGCTCAGACATGAACTTCACCAGGCAGCACGTAACCCCTGTAAACTGAAACAAATTTCCCAGTTAAGGTAAAGCAAAGCTGATTAAGGGAACTTTTCCTGATGACTAAATCAAAGATAATGGGCACAGGACAAGGGGAATGAAGTTAAAAAAACCCAAGTTTTTTACTTTGAAGAACGGCAAGTGTCAGCATCTTGTTATTTAAATTTATGTTTTAGTTTTTCACACTAACACAGAAAAGTTACTTATTTAAAACCCCATGCCTTGAGCAGTTGAGCAGTAACAGAAAGACACAACATCGCTCTGAGCAACTGGATTTCCAAACTACCAGGTAACAGCAGTTGGAGCCCTGGTTCTGCTTACAGAGGGATGCAGGAGATGTTGCAACACGCGCAGAGGCGTTTTTTACCAAGAGAGGGGGACTGAGATGTGTCTCTTATGAATGATGAGACAGTAAAACTTTACACATTTACATTTCCTACTGTGCTCACTGCAATATGAAACAAATATCATCCCAGTGTTAGTGGGGAGAAAGATCCACTTCTGGGAAATCACTTTTGCCTCTTTTCAGTTAACTGCAAAATCCTGACGCACCAGGACAGAGGAGAGAACCTGAGAATATGGAGTGTCTCTCCAACGCTCTGATCACTCACCTCTCCCTCTTGCTCATCATTTCATTCTCACACTGCTGTTTTGGGATTTGTTTTGGGATTTATTACAGAACAATTCCCATTGCTTTACCTTTAACTTGCAGAGAGAACTGCTAGCGGGCAAAACTTACTGTACCTACAGAGGCTGTTGCCAGGCTGTTCCTGTCTCACACCCCTCTCCCAAAAAAGGAAAGAGTTACTTGAAGCACCAAGAGCAATGTTTTCCAAAAGTGTTTCGTTCTCTTTGTTTCACCACTCTTAAAAACCGTGTGGCACACCACTCCATCTGCAGCCCTTGTATTTATTTATTACCTTCCCCCAGATTGTGTGCTGTGAGGAACAGCAGTGAGAGAGCCCAGAGTTCTCCTGATGTGGGCAGGGGAGAGAACACACCAGACCTACAGACTGCCCCTTCCTGAGAGCCTGGTGAGTGTCCCAGGGGGAAGCACTGCTGCTCCATACAGTGGGATCTGCTGTGAAATCGCTGGACTCACGCAGTGACCTTGCAGATCAAGCCTGGCAAGTGTACAACATCCTACGTGCAACGTTTTCTATTAAATACCTTGGGATGAAGTGCAATAAAATGAAAGTTCTATAAAGAGTTTTGATTTTAATAGCTTCAGTTACCAAGTTCAGTTTTCTGGAGATTTGGCAGGCTTTCCTGGAGTGTACTGAGATATCTGAAACCTCTTTTGTTCTCTTTTTCTATTTTTTTTTTTCAACTTAGCTATTAGCAACCATCAATGAATAGTGGCAAAACACGACATTTAGAATTAACCCTGCAATCTTGGAACTATCTGTTGACCAAAAAAAAAACCAAAGCAGAATGTTTCAGTCTTCAAGCAGAGTATCTTTAATCCTCTTTTAATTGCTAGGTTTCATTCTGTCAACATATTATATTATGTCATATGAATCCCTGGATGGCTGACACGCTCCAAGAGCACAAGGGAAAGGGTTTTCACTTCAGTGTTTCACAAGAATTTTATGTGTTCATTTTACTGGAATTTGCATTAATATCTTTCATTAATTACAAATTATCTGCTCATTGCAGGGACTAAAAATGGTTTTGAGGCCACAGACCCAGAGCATTGGGATTTAAATAAAAAAACCACCCAGTGCCCCTGCTTTTTTTCCAGCCATCAGATGTCTGGATCGACTGCACATTCCAACACTTTGGAAAGCAGATTCTGCCTCATGGAATAGCTAAAGGAATGTTCCAGTGTCACTGCTGGGGAGGGTGCAGAGGGACGAATGCACTGAGAAAACAAGCTGAAGACCTGATCTATTTTTCCATCAAGTCACCTTGTGTCTCTTGGTTTAATCTATGTGTTCTCTATGTTTTAATCTCCAGGCAGCACAGTCCTGCTCTGCCTCAGGTGGAACCTCAAGTGTTTCAATCCCCTCTCTCAGCCAAACAGCACGGAACAGGTCCAAAGCCCGTTTCAATCCACGTGATTTTAGGTGTGCCCATCACCAAAACATGGAAAGATAACGGGATGCAAACTCTGCCCTCACTCACCTCACATTGGATATTCCTGCTTTATCTACTAGAGCTATTTTTAAACAACTTTTTATTGGAACAGGCTTCTTATCAATAGCAAAATGTAGATAATCTAAATAAAATGTGCAAAAAAATATGCTGAAAATCTGAAAATGTGTTCCTTAAACTAACCAATATCAATATTTTTGTCGAATTCTGGTCTAATTTATCTGATTCTCTCACAGTCTGTTGCCTTGAAAGGCCAAAATCAATGGAAATTGCCTGTTAAGTGCAGAAGCTCCAACAGATCAACTCATTTTACCCTTAAGCACAATGGGAACTTTTTGACCTATGCAGTCTAGGAGGAAAGCAAAATGTTGTTCAAGGGATTTAGTAAGGCTCTGTAGAAATTATAAAACCTTGACAAATCAAACAACTAATTTGAGCAGGTCTGAACACCATCCCACAAAACCTTTTCCTAAGGATCTAACTTCCTACTAGATTTGCTCCAGCAAACGGCGCAGAAAAGATGATTAATTTCTCTTTATGCTAAAAGCCTTCTCAAGTGAGAATCCAAGAGGAAATATTATCTAAGCTGAGGGAAAGCCATTTTCAGAGAGGATGAGGTTGTAAACCTTACCAAGTTTGCCGTACAGGATGTGTGACAGCAGTGTTCCAGAGAGTCCCTTTGCTAATAGCCCAAAGCCACGAGGAGGTGCTGGGTCTGTGAACACACTCACGAGGGGTATGGACAACACTTTGTCCATATCTCATCTGCCATCCCAGCTCCTGATTCTCCAGGACCAACAGGAAGAACGCCTGGGAAAAGCAGGACTGCAGACAGCTTGTGTGTTTGCAATAATTTTGATAACAAACCTGCATTCTAAATAAAATCCCTCTCAAGCGCAGCCAAAACCCCCAAGACCTCGTGTATCGGAAGAGGTGCTGGTCCCACCTTGCTGGGTCCTTTTCCTGTGTTAAAGAACAGCAAGATGCCAGGTCTCCAAATGCCATTCTGGGGCTTTGTGGCAAATTACTAATTGCTTTGGTGCTCAGTTTCTCACTAGTAGCAGAGAAACAAGGTATTTGTATTAAGTGACACTCCATTTCTCTCCCGCCATGTGCGACTGTCCAGCATTGTTGAAGGTCCTCACCAGCTCCCAGCCCTGCCCCAGCTCCATCAATGATCCCACACAAAAGGCACTGGCGTGTGGACAGACCACGGGCACGCCAGTGGAGCAGGAATGAGCTCTGCCCCCAGTCTCCTGACACTTCCAGCTGCCAGCTGCAGCTCCACACCATTTGGCACTGCGTGATACTGGGCACCGTGCACGGCTCGTGGTGCCACCTGGGCTGGCCTAGTTTGCACTGGGCTAGGAAAATGTGATTATCATATTTTCCAGCTTTACTCCAGCTGATCCCCAGAGCAGCAAAGTTTCCACATAAAGCAAACAGTACTTTTTCTTTGTGTCCTGCCAGTGCCTGCACATGGTACAGCCGAGAGCAGGAGTGTTTTATGCGATGAGCGTCATTCTGAGAAGAAAGGAATAATTTGCTACAAACCTCTTTGTGTTCTACCTCAAGCTGGTGTCAGTCTCAGGATAAACAGATGCATCAATCACCCTAAACATAAAAGCAGTTTGCATCAAAGAAACGTATTTTTGATAGTTGAAAGCTGACAAAGAATTTACTATTTATAAAATAAAAGGCATTTTGCTTGTATACCCAAGAGAAATCAATAGGAAGAAATAAAGATCAGCCTAGCAGTACCTACTATTAACAGAATGTCTTATTTCTTTACTTCCTAAAGGTCACATTCCCAACAAACCTTCAACTTGCAGCTGACTGGACTTGGTGGAGGATCACGAAACTTAAGGATTTTGATTTTAAGCAGTGCTTAAACCAGCTGTACATGCTATGGAAGAGGGGAGGAGATGGCTGACCTGGGGTGAGGTAACACTGGTTCTCATCACATCTAACTGCCAAAAATCATCTTGCACTTCTCATACAGAGAGGGGAAGGAGAGATCGCCCTCGGGCTCGCCACTCTGCTTTTCCATAAGATTCCTGCTTCCTCTTCCTAAGCACTGCACTGTCTCACTTTGCTGCTGGGTTCCAGCCCCAACAACTGCACCAAGGCAGGAGCTGCTGAGGGTGTGCAGAACCACCAGCGTGACCACCAGTCACATCATCCCACAAGGACTCCATCCTGGATATATGTCAGGAACACATCCACTGGGAGGTTTTGGGGTGAAACCTGCACAAATGCACACCACTATGGCCAGTGTTTAATTTCAAACAGAACATATTTTTCTAAGGAATAACTGAGGCGCTGGGGGATGCTGGAATTAAGTCAGAACATGAGATCCATGGAAAGTTTGTCAAGCCTAGTAGCAATCCGAGTGAGGGTCAGGTTTGGCATCTAAAAGGATTGTTTTTCACTCTGATAATAGCAGTGAAAATGAAAATTGGTCCATCAAGACCAAACCTGGCAATGGTTCTCATGGCCCTGGTGGAACACAGACTCCTCACGGTCTGTGAATGCAACACAGGCTGAAAAAGGCAAACAACAGACATTTGATCCCATCTCCGGGTCTGACACACAAAGTTAAGAGCCTCCCATGTGGGTCTCGTTTGGCAAGACAGCAGGGAGAGCAGGGGACTGAGGAACTGTGTACAAACAGTGGTGGGCCCCGTTCTGAGTTATCTCCATAGAGCTGTGGTACAAATTCACAAGGGATTTACAGCTCCTGTTGAGCACTGGCTGCACCAGGAACAGAGAAGAGCACAGCAGGGGCCTGGGCCCAGGTGCAATCCTGCTATGGCCTGGATCACGCTCCCTGGGATTGAGTTTGCAATACAGGAAAGAAAAGTATAGAAAACAAAAATTAGGTGTGAGAAGCCTGTATCTGTTTTGTGTCAGAAAGCAAACCAATGCCTGTCACCAGAGTTTATCAACATTCCCAGGAATTAAAATCAGGCCCATTTGCAAATATTTACAGGCAAGAAACAAACACCCAGTTCAGAATCAGATATATAAGGTTCATAGACACAGGTGTGGAGGGATTACTGCACAGTTACAGGGAATTTCGTGAGGACATCCCAAGAAGCTCTTGTCCACAGGAGAGACATGACAACTCTCTTTATGGACATTCCCATTTCATTCCATCAGTTAGAAAAAAACCAAACCAGAAAACCCAGAACACTTACCCCTAAGGACATGTGGGTGGCTCACGGCCACCGCAGCCACATCAGCTCGGTTGCACTCAATTTCCAGGATGCAGACAGCCAGATTTCTCTCTTCCATCTTTGATCCCCTTCAGGCAGCTGGGAGCTGCCTGTCAAGTGCAATGACATGAACGATACGGTTGTCACCGACAGCTCTCTCTTTTGATCCCGGTGACGTAAGGCAAGACTGAAGTGCGTGCTGCCAATGCCACAAAGCCACATTTTGAACCTGTTTTTGTCTCACAAAGTCAAGGCAGTGCTAGATTCCAGTGGCACCGGGCCTTGTCCAGCCCTACATTCCCTGGGAGATAAGAAAGGCATTGACTGGGCTTTTAAAGTATACTACGTGGAACTGCCCAGATGCCTCAGCCATGAGCAAAAACGAGACAGAACCAAGCTCTGTTTGTCCATTTACATCCCATCACAGAAAAACTCCCTATACAGACACACCGCCTATTAATCTAGAACAGACAGCCGCGATCCAAATGTCATTTCAGCAGTCAAACAGGGGTACAGCACAAACAATTTACAAGATGAGCTTAATGAAGAAACACATTTGGTCACAGCTGCTGCTCAGACTAGACTGGAAGAAATCCAAAAACCAGAAGGAAGTGAGAGCATTAGTAAATTAGAAGGAGAGATCAAGAGCTTGCTTCTGTAATGAAATCCCAGCTTTGAAATCCAAAATATTTAATCCCAACTACCAATATTTCTTCCAGACCAACAGGAGGCATTTATAAAGAACACCTGGAGTCTTTGTCGACCAGCAAAAGCTCACCACAACTTTTGTGTGTCCTTGAACCGAGACAGCAAATAACAAAACCATGAGCTCGTGCTTAGGGTGGCTGCTCAAACTACCCACAAAATCAGAGACTTTTCAGAGTGAAGAGGAATATGAGCGACTGAAATTCGTACAGATGGAGCGCTGCCTGGCCTATGAGGCAGGATTGGGGTCAATCTTGTTAGACATAATAGGACTTCATTCATTATGGATGAAAAGATTCGGCTCCTACTGTTATGAGAGCGGATAAGTGCAGCTGTGGTTTAACCAAATTCACAGGAGGTTGAATGAGGCTGCTGAGACAAACTAGACAGCAAACTTCCAAAGGCTGCTGGAATATTTAAGATTCCACCTCGCCTGGTGGATGCCTGCGAAACATAAATGCAATTTCCATTACGGAAAGGATTAAATTTCAAACTGCTGCTGGCTTCTGTAAGAATTATTGGGGCTATCAATCCATATCATCAAGGCATAAGCTGATCACCAGTTGGGATCAGGAAGAAATCCCCTCTGCTCCGAGCCCAACACAGCTACAGAGTTGGATAATTAACAGGGTACTGAGGAGAGGCAGATTAACACCTTGCTTTAAAGAATCCAGAAGTGGGATATGAGGCCAGATGGACACTTGTCTGCCCAACTAATGCAACTTCTCTACTCTCAGAAAAATACACCATTGCTCAACAGAAATTCCCAATTATTCCTGGGTTTGGTGCCATATGAATCACTGACCACCTGAACCACTGACATTTCTGTGGTTTTACTACAACCTGTGACTCCTGGGACGTCTCAAAGTCAGGAACTCCCTTGCCACCCTCACTAACCACGACTGCAAACCAGGGAACAACCCTCTCCGATTGCTACGGCAGAGCCATGAACAGATTCCCGTGTCCCAGGATGCACAGCCTTGGCCCCAGGCCTTCCAAAATCCATCTGGATCATCACACAGTACAGTTGCTGCTGTTCTGCTCTCAAGAGCGAGCCTGATTTGTCTAACAGAGAAAAGTTGCCTTTTCTTGAGACGCTTATCCCAAAGAACTTTCAGAGAATAAGACACAGCGAGTATTCAGCCCACATTCCATCATTCTGGCAACAAAACTGATGAAGAAAAACACAATAAAAATGCTGCAAAGAGCTTTTCCAAATCTTTCTTTGAAAGAATTTGTACGCAGCCAAGAGCTGCTGGTTCCACACCGAACTCCTAGGCCAACCTCTTATTCCTTTCTTTTCATTTTCTAAAGATTTTATTGGCACCTAAATTTTCAAGATTTTTATAAGGCGAAGAGCATGTCTTGCCGATGACTTGTCCTCTACAATGCCACAAGTTTTGTTTCCAGTGTTCCACCATTATTTTCAAGTATTTAAGGTTGCAAGAGCTTCAGATTTTGCACCACTTAAGAGTGGCAAGTCTCTAATAAAGGCAGTGAAACAGTTACCAGCTTAATTATTTACACAAAGACTGCAAGGGAAGAGTCACCCAAGGAGCAATGAAACCACCTACCTCAGAATCCCATAACTGCTTCCCTGCACTCGATACCACAGAAAGCTGTTCTTGTTTCCTGCAAGAGAAATGTGCTGAAGATTTCCATTCCACCTTTTCAAAGAGGGAGAAGTTGCAGTAAGGTTGATTCTTTCCAGAACCATCTCACTGATACCATTGCTAATTGTCACCTATATCCTTCATATGTTCATTTTAGACAATGGAAAGGAGCAATTCTATGTTTTAAAAAGATAAAACTTTTTAAGCCAAGCGCTAAAACTTTCAGCTGCTTAAATCCTTCTTGGCTGTTCAGTTCCAATGATAATTTCCTATACATGGGTTTGGAGTGGTAATAAAACTACCAAGACTTCATCAAGACTCTGGTTCCATTTTCTCCCAGTAACGCTTGCCTCTAATTCCGTATAAAACGGGACAGGAGCTACATTTCAAGCTACATTTGCTTCTGAGAAAACTATTTTCTTTCCCTTAGCACAAAATAAATATCTGCTTACTGCTATGTTATCTGAAAAAAAAAACATTTTCAGAAAAATGCTTGGGAAATATTCAAATAATGTCGTGTCATGTAAAACTTTTCCAGGGTATCCCGGTAGTTTTAGAAAGCTCAAGCTGTTCTGGGTCACACAGCCTACAGCAGGCTGTGAAATGCGTACAGGGAAAGGCACCACGTACACAGTGCTGGGAAAGGTTGGCTTTTAACCACTGTGCTGGATGAGTAAGGACAAGCAAAATCCATTTCAGAAGCTAAAGGGATGAAGTCACGTCACAGCAAACTTCCTCAGCGCTTTTGGGAGCTGTCCTGAGCGGTCCCTGAGCTGTGTGTGCCTTCCCTGAAGCACTTCAGAAGTTCTTCACAGGACCAAAGACATGCTCATACATTCCCTTGAGACTGGCCTCAAAGAAGCGGAATTCTCCTCCCTCCCCATAAATCCCTGATGTACAACAAATGACATCTGGCAGGGTTGGGAAAAAATCTTTTTTACCAAACAAATCCTATTGTTTGTTTGATTCTTGTGGTTTCCTGATGCTGGCTGGAGTTTGGGGACAGCAGTAATTCCGTAGGCTCTGAATCAGCCAAGTTGGCTGGCTTGGAGGCTGCTCTTGCAAGGACACCGAGGAGCCTCTAACCACATTCTAAAGCAGAAACTCTTTCACACAAAAAATATTTCAAAAACCAAGAATGCTTCCATTAACACCCTGCGTGCTAGTCTGGATTCAGGCTCTCTCAAGGACTAGGAATGCCAGTACAATTCCATAGCAAATGCTGGCAACCACCCAAGCAAACTCTGTGCTGCAAGTTGATGCAGTAAATCTGGAAATTCAACACATCTCAACTCAAACTCTTAGTTATGCAATAATATAAGCTGCAGAAACACTTTCCCTGGAAGTGTTCAAGGCCGGCTTGGACGGGGCTTGGAGCAACCTGGCCTAGTGGAAGGTGCCACTGTGGATGGAATGAGATGATCCTTCAAGGTCCCTTCCAACCCAAACCATCCTGTGATTCTAGGGCAGAACTGACTGCTGACACTTCCTTGGAACTTGCTAAAAGCCAGAAGAAGATGGCATAGGTTTTAGAATTGGGTCAGCATAAATACTAATAAATACTACTACTACTAATAATAAATACTAATTCAATTAATAACGGTCCTGTTAGGCAAACATTGCACTAACCAAGAACCTGAGTCCACTAGTCCCCAGACCACGGTTATTTGTCTAAAGAATTGCTAGTTTTGGAAGCACTTACGATGCCGGTCGTATTTTTCGGAAACAGAACCACATTTCTTCCAGCCTTTATTGGAGGAGACAAAAAAAATAACAATCCTAAAGAGGTGTGGCTATTAAAAATCATCTGCTATCTTTGGCTAGACCACGAGGAGGCAGCTCCAGCAATCAAGCCGGGTCCCCAGGGTGGAAAGAAGAATTCTGTCTCTTTCCACTTTCCAGGTTATTCCAGATCTCGAGTTCTGGCAGAGCCAGTAAAGAACTGCACTTGATGACACCTGTGGTTTTGAAGCCAAGTCCCCTCTCTCTGCTACATCGTAACTCTCCACAGCAAGGAGAAATTCCTGACTCTTCACTGACATCTGGCATTTACTCGTCACCCGCAGGCACACACATTGGTACTAAATCAGCTGCAAGGTCCCTTCCAACATAAACCAGCCCATGAACTTAACAATTGGATTTCTTTCTACAGCAATGTACTGCTATTTAAAAAATAAATAAATAGTAATTAAAAAATGTAAACAAAAAGCTCTCCCTGAAATCCTCACTTGGCTATGGGCTTACATCAGCTATTGGCCTACAAAACAAACATTGCTGAACTACTTCTAATTTTAAGTTTTGAACTCTATTCTGAAGCATTTTAAGACATGTAAATGATTAAGCTTGGCATCATAACATATATATAAAGAAATACAGAGCACCTTGTATCTGTTTTCTCCCCCTTTCAATGTATAACAAACTGTTCTTCATTCCCAACTTTTACCATCTCCCCTCCTTTTTCTTAAAACCTGCAAATCTAACTCTGGGGCAGGTTCTTTGTCCTGCTGAAGTCAGAGAAATATACTGACTTAAAGGTCCTTTCCAAATTTCTCACTCCCCTTTAGCTGCCACAGCCTCCCCCACAAGATACCCATTTATCTACAGAGACATGTGAATTACAGCACTTCACAGTGCTTTAAATAATTGTTACTGCAGAGACAGCAGCCAGACAAAGAGGTAAACCCTTGGCTGGGATAGTTCTGCCTCGTCACGACAAGATTTAGTTGCTGTGCTCTTGCTGGACAGGGGTAAAAACTCAGAGCTGGGGAAGGATGTAAATATCTTGTCTGGCTGACCTAAGAACTGATGTAGAATACATTTGCTAAATGTTCTAGCAGAGGTCAGAAAATTGCTTGGAATGGCTTGGAAACCGCTCTGATTTAGAGACGGTAGAGAAACAGCTTCACCATCATCAGAAAAAATGTTTACATCCTTAATACATGAAATACATGGAGCGTGACTTGTTGAGAAATAAAACCTGCAATTTCAAACTTATTTACTGACCTGGCTGTAAGAGACTGGTTTTTATTGCAACATTCACAGCCAGGTGACATGCATAAAACAGATGTGTCAGCACCTCCCAGCCAGATGTTTGCTGTCCCTGCTCACCTCCAGCCTGGCTCCCTGCCTATCTCCTCGCTCCCTCTCACCTGAGACAGCCTCTCCACGGCTTCCTCCTCCTCCTGCTGCGTCTTCTAAGAGCTCATCCCCTTCCCACATGAACAAACACACTTTATTACCGTTCTGCAAACTCGCAGAATACCTACTGATTACTCGTCTAGAGCGACTCAGGTGGGAAGCTGATCCTGGATGCACCAAAAGCTGTCCAAAGACAGGCTTTAAATCACAGTGCTGCTTTCACAGACACAGAGCAGACAGCACTGAGGCCTCAGGGAATGAGCCTGTTCTCACCTCAGCATGAGGGTTCAAGAAATCTTACTATTCAAATATTACATTTCAGGGGCCTCCCCCTCCCCTGACAGATTCAAGACTGGGACCATCACACTGACCAGCAAACACCTGAATTACAACAAGTGTCACTGCTAGATCCATAGGTGGGGATATCTTTCTACTCTTCTCCTTTCTTTCCCTTCATTATATATTTTTATTACATTTTTATGCTTTTATATTGCAGTCTTTCTACAGATAATAACCCAAGTGGCCACACACCTCCTTCCCATTGCAACCAAATTGTTCTAAAATAAACCCTACATATTTATATTTATATTTATATTTATATTTATATTTATATTTATATTTATATTTATATTTATATTCTTGCATATTTATAAACAGCAGGCATTTCACTCTAATCCACCCCAAGGGATCTATTAACAACCTGAGCTACCCCCACCTTCAGGGACATTAACATTGGCATCACAGACTGGATTACACCCAGAAGCGATGAGGAGGTTTTTTTATGGGGATAACAGAGAGAACTGATTTATGGTCAAGGCTGGAAACTTGAGCAGAACCTGAGCAGAATATCTGTATTAACTGGACTTACGTTTTTGGCTACAGGAATAGCGACTGTTCACCGTAGGACAATCCTCGTTCCTCTTTTCCTCTTCTCCTCTCTTTTTTCTCCCTCTGTCTGCTCGGTTAGGATCAGCATCACAGGAAAAAAGGCCCCATCACTCAGGTCCTGGTCACTGCTTAGAGCCATGGGGAGGTGCAGACAACCAGAGGAATGTCTGAGTAGCTCAAACAAACCAGGTGACAAGTGGGGCAGGGGGGAACAGGCCGAGCTCTCTATGTATGGCAGGAATGGCTCCCCCTGCTCCCTTGAGCCACTGTCAGCCTCTTGTCCGCACCAAAATGGCACAGGATGACCGCATGGCCTCCCCAGAAAGGCACATTAATTTGTGACCTGCCCCAACATGGTCACGACTGACCCACAGCCTGCCCCAAAATGGCGGCACCTGACCCACAGCTGAGAGCCCCAAAATGGCGGGAACTGACCCGTGTCCTGACACAAAATGGTGGTGACTGACCCATAGACTGCCTTAAAATGGCGGCACCTGACCCACAGACTGTTGAGAGCCCCAAAGTGGTGGCGCCTGACCTACAGAAACTGCTGAGAGCCCCAAAATGGTGGCGACTCACCCACAGCTCACTGAGAGCCCCAAAATGGCGGGAACTGACCTGTGTCCTTACACAAAATGGTGGTGACTGACCCTCAGCCTGCCGAGAGCCCAAAAATGGCGGCACCTGACCTACAGCTTGCTGAGAGCCTCAAAATAGCAGGAACTGACCCACAGACTGGTGAGACCACCAAAATGGCAGCACCTGACTTACAGAAACTGCTGAGAGCCCCAAAACGACCGTGACTCACCCACAGTTCACTGAGAGCCCCGAAATGGCTGTGATTGATCCACAGTCTGCCCCAAAATGGCGGGAACTGACCCACAGACTGCTGAGAGCCCCAAAATGGCGGGAACTGACCCGTGTCCTGACACAAAATGGTGGTGACTGACCCATAGACTCCCTTAAGATGGCGGCACCTGACCCACAGACTGCTGAGAGCCGCAAAATGACCATGACTCACCCACAGTTCACTGAGAGCCCCAAAATGGTGGGAACTGATCCACAGAGATTGCTGAGAGCCCCAAAATGGCTGTGATTGATCCACAGTCTGGCTTAAAATGGTGGCACCAGACCCACAGGCTGCTGAGAGTCCCAAAATGGCGGGAACTGACCTGTGTCCTTACACAAAATGGTGGTGACTGACCCACAGTCTGCCTTAAAATGGCGGCACCTGACCCACAGACTGCCGAGAGCCCCAAAATGGAGGGAACTGACTGCGTCAGCCCCACAATGAACATTAAAGCACATCTGGGAAGCCCCAGGAGACCAGAGCAGATAAAAGAAGTGACACATTATATATTTATAAATACATATATATCTATATCTATATCTATATATATATAATTATATATATAATTGTATATAAATATATTTATATATTAGATATAAATGATATAATTATATATAATTATAATATTATTGCATAAATTATATATAATATATAATATAATTTTTATTATTATTTAAAATAATTATAGATATATATAATTCTAATGATATCCACTGCCATGGATTTAGAAGCAGCTGAGACCACGTGGGATCCTGGGGTGATTGACATATATATTTTCCTCTCTCTTTTTTTTTTTCTTTCTTTCCCTCTTTCTTCTCCTGCCTTCTTCTTCTCAAAGGAATAATGTAAGCCAGACCAAAAAAAATTCCAGTCACTACCTTAACAAGTGCATTGTTGTGTCTGGATAAGCTCAAGTTGGCTGAGTTTATGTTTTCTAAGTTAAAGCTGGTGAAGCATCTTACCTTATCCGGACGTTGTTTTAGAATTTGCCTAGTACCTTCTACCTTTGCAAAAAAAAGTTTGTTACTGAACCTCTTGAGAATCTGGGTATTTTTCTCTGTATGCTGCCCACAGTAAATGAAACTACTTTCCCCTAAACCCTCCAAGCAGCTAAGGGCATAATAACCTTTAATTCCAAATTAGTTCTTTAAAAGAGCAACAAGCAAATCTGACTCTACTGCTACCAGGTATATTATTCTGGCTCACTGGTGGCACGAGGCACTTAAAATATGAGATAGTGGTGTCCTTGTCAGTGCTGGGGGAATAGGTGGACTTGGGCCTTGGAGGGATTTTTCCATCTTAAAACTCTACGATTCCAAGACAGAAAAAAAGCATGTTTCCCATGTACTCCTTGGGAACCCACCTTAAGGCTCCTTTGGGCAGGGTTGCCCTCTCCTGAGTACCGACTAGGAGCTTCCAAAGTTCTCCTCTACTCTACAAAGTGTGCTTCGGAAGTTCTCCTCTACTCCAAAACCTCCCCACACGGCGCTGCAGGAAGAAAGAAAAGGCAAATTACTTGCAGCTACCTCAGAGAAGTCTACAAAACAGTAAAAGGCACTTCAGACCATCAGCTTTGGGAGAAAAAAAATAGTGTTTCTGAGAAATAACAGTTAGAAAACACTGATACAAAAACAAAAGTGCTTTGAGGCGCCACAGAATATTTGGAAAGCTGCTTGTTTCAGTTTGAAAACTCCTGGAAGTGTGAGGGAGTCCAACAGATGTGCACATCTGGCTGTGCAGTGTGAGCTCTACCTGCTGACACACCTGTGCCAGCTCAGCCCACTTCCAGTGGATAAAAACAGCGCAGAAATGAAGCAGCAGCATCTTAACATCATCAGCCGGGATCATGAGCAACTTCCAGCGAGTCCAAAAAGATGCAGGTTGGATTTTTTTTTTTAAGAACCCAAATTCTCTCACCAGAAAGAAAATCAGATATCCCAGTTTCTTCAGGAATAATTTCTCTACCTCATTAATCATCTTAGGAGGCCAACTAATCACCACCCAAGGAAGAACCTTTAAGCATAATGAGTACTTTCCTCCTACCAGTTACCAAAATATTTTGCCTAGGTTTAGTTCAATTTCAGCAAAGAAGTGTCTGAAATTTGGAGGTCAAGCACATAAAAGTCTAAGCTAGAAATCAGGTTTTTTATTATAGCTTTACATTAGGGCCCAAAATCAAAAAGGACCATGAGAACTGCAGTTTTTCCAATATGCTAGCAGTATGGAAAATTTGAAAAAAATTCAGGAATGCTTACTGAAAATCTGCATTTGTTTTTTCTAGGCAGTCAAATACTTGGATCGAGTGTTGCTTACAAGACAAGCATCTTGAAAATAAATCTGAGAAAACATCTCAAAGTCATTACAAAAAAGCACTCAGATAAGGCTTGAGAGCAATTATCAAAACTTTAGAATGAAAAAGGAAAAATGTATGAAGTATTTTGAAGCTGCAATTTACCTTCCTTCACAACATAGCAGCTTTCCCTTGCAGTTCTGGATAGGAGACATGAGTTTCTGTTACAACACAGTTCAAAAATCACATTTTTTTCTTGTTACAGACAGAGGATCACCTACTAGACCAGCAGCAAAACTGCAGATTTTCTTAAGGTTCACACATGTAAAAGCAAGACAGGAACACAAGTGTGTGTGTACATATGTGTTTAGGCACTAGAATATACTCACTATGCCAGTGTTCATTTAAACTTGATTTAAACTTCATTTAAAGCCCAGCCATGTCCCTCTCAGCAGTGAGAAGCTTAAGCCACCCTCCCAGGATGTGCTATTAAAACCAGGGATGTCTCTTTGCACAAAAGCAATGCTGGAATGCTCACCCAGCTGAGGGATCCATTTTCCTGAGCACTCAGACGAAGCTAATGAAGAGATTAATTCACCACAGGTATAACTGCAAGGACTGCAATAAGAGAAAAAAGGCTCAACACGTTCCAAGGTCAAAATAGATTTTTTCCAGAACTTTATAAAACAACTTTTTCTCATCACCTGGGGTTTCTCTCAGGTGAAAGTATCACATCTGCTGTGTTTTTTATTTGCTTTTCTTTCTTTTTTTTTTTTCCCCCTTTCTTTTTTGTCCCCCAAAAAAACCTGAAAAAATGCTGTGTAAGAAGTACTAGTCCTGAGAAAGAAGCAGTGGAGTGACAGAGCTGACCAGGGTTCACATTTGCAGAGCATAGGATCTGTCAATAAAATTAAGTGATAAAACAATCAATATCATTCTGTCCCAAAGGAAATGGCAAGGAGGAAGCAAATAAAATTAAGGGCAGCTTTCCTTCAGGCGTTTCTGTGATACCTGAAATCTTCTGGAGTCAGCCAGGGATCTCCCCCTGCTCCTCAGCAGTGTCCCTGATTTTCCTCCTCCTTCAGCTTTACATAATCCAAACATGAATTTCCTGCCCATGCAATCTAAATATCACATACAAAAAGGGCAAGAAAGAGCATTTAATGTAAAAAAAAAAAAAACCAAAAAACCTCTATGGAGAGACATTTGATTTCCCTATTGCTTAGAACTCACATGAGGCAGCTCAGGAAAATCAGCTTCCAACCTACCTTGCTGCATCTGGCAGGAGTCTGTCTGCCTTTCTAGGGAAATAAATCAGTACAAATACTTCCTAAACCTGATGCTTTTAATGTGGAATTTACCAAAAAGTGAGGGGTTTTTCATGAATTTGAGCAAAGACCAAGGCTTTTGAGAATTTATTCGCCTAGCCAGCGTGAGATGGAGAACACCAAAATACTGGGGAATTTTCAGTGAAGAGAAGCAGCTACACACAGAAAACACAGAGCCTTCCCTCACATCTGCCATCCACCACCATGTTTGGATGCATGGAAAATCCCAGCAGCAGAAAGGTGGAGTATGGAAGCTTAGCCAAATCTGCCTACTGTGCTGGGGTTTGGGATAACCCTCATTAATAGGGAGATAGGGCAATCAGTGGAAATTAATCCATACTGCTTGTCTCTACCTTTACATGCTGCTGCATCCAGACTTTTAAAGCAACCTTTGGAAATCAAGAGGATTCATGTAAAAAATTTAGTACTCCGAAGAGGAGAAAAAAAATTGTTGCTGTGCTTTTTCCAATTGCCAAGTTAAAGGAATGTTATTGAGGACTGTCTTACATAAATGTTCCTCGACCTCTGAATGAACCAACAGGTCTTAAAAGCTGCATTAGCCAAAGCCAATTCCCACAGCAAATGAAACGCTCAGCCGAGAGTGCACTGGACTCTTCTACGGGCAAGACAAAGGAAAAAATCCAAATGGCAAGTTAGTGTTTCCTGCTTGGGCCTAAATGAGCCCAATAAGCTCGTGATGAGCAGCTGCCAGCATCCAGACAGTAAAACCACAGCACACTGATTCCTCCTAGGAGCAGCTAAAGCTGATGGGAGCGGTTTAAGGCAAGAATGTAATGCCTGAAGGCCAGATTGCTGCTAAACAACCTACTGCTCCTCAGAGAAGGCAGAGGGCATTAGGAAAGCCAGCCTAGAAGCCCAGGCAGGATCTCATTCCCAGTTCATCTCCTGGAGCACACTGAGGAGCCCCATGCAGCCCATACCCCTCTGAACATCCCCTGCCCTGTGGCACAGACACACAGCCATGAGGGAAACAGCCCCAACACCTTCAGCCCTGCCA